GCTAAATATGCAGATGTGTTGCCTAGTGCGTTTAAGTGCAAATGAATGGCAGCACGACACAACAACACATGTTACGTGCATTACTATGTGTTGCAGTAACACACAAGTGTAAATCCAGCCTGATACTTTGCCCTAAATAAGCACAGTACGACGTTACTTTTTTTAATGTAATGGTGCTGGAGGGACAATTGTGCAGGTAAATGCTCTGTGCGGACAGCTCAGCTCTTGCTACATCTTTAATATTCTTTCTGCTCACAGGTTCTCTGACAGGCTCTGGCAAATACAAAAACAGTGAACAGAAGAGGCACATTTTTTGATGATTCCCTGTTGTATTGTGCATGCAGAGCTAGAGCTGCAGCTCATAGTTTAAGAGATTTAACAGGTAAATGTGCTTTTAATTTATGACATGAGCAAAAGAACTTGTGTCTAAAGCTGGCCATACACCTATAGATTATCTACAGATTTTCTGTGGTCAGATGGAAAAAGTGCAACATATTCCTCCATCTACGCTACACTGTGTGGATAGAGGAATCTCCCAGTGGGCCAAGCTTCAGTATCTTGCTAGTTGGCCCCGCTGGCTGTCAAAATACTTAAATGATGCCTCCATCCAATCAGATTGTTCAGGTGTTTTGAGAGCTAGCGGGACCAACTAGCAAGATACTGAAGCTTGGCCCAGTGGGAGATATCACACAGTTTAGCGTAGATGGAGGAATCTGTTGCACTTTTTCCATCTGACCATAGACAATCTGCAGATAATCTATAGGTGTATGGCCAGCTTAAATCGTTTAAACACCATTGAACAAAATTTTTGAAAAACTTAATTTTCAGGGAGAGATGTGCTTCTTCTCTGCATGTACATTGCTACTAACCCCATCAAATCTTTGTCTACTGACCCAGCTAGTGTTCATTTGCAGTGAATGTGCAAAGATAGGATTGTAAGCCCTCATGGGCAGGGCCCTCCTTACCTTCATGTCTTGAATTGTATTGTGACTGTAATGTCTTCCTTATATTGTAAAGCGCTGCGCAAACTGTTAGCGCTATATAAATCCTGTATACTAATATTAATATTGTCACAGGTCGGCATTTTTCTACAGGTAATCTGGTAAATTGTGGTTAATTTAACAAATAAAAGCAAATGGGATTTCTTCAGAAATGGATGTGATGTGATAACATGGTGTATTATCATCCCGTTAAGTGGAGTGATGAACTACAAGTTCCAGGTAACTCTCGTGTGAACACAGAACGGCTTTACCTAGCTGGGTTTGGAGACAGATGGTAAATTCAAGTAGTGATTTTTCACATGAAGGGAAAACTGTAGCATGTGTTTTTAGAGGACCTATTTTGGGTCATTGTAACATTTACCTGAAATACATTTTTATGTATTGTTAGCATTTTACATATTCCTTATTTTGATGATTGTATTTTTTACACAGGACTGTAAAGTCCCCCTCTCTAGGAGTGTAGTCAGCTTGCCTGCCAAGATAAGGTCATTTAGACATAAGCTGGCCATACACTGTGTGAAATTCTTTCAGTGGTGATCCTTCGATCAGAAAATCGCAGGTTGAATGAAAAAAACGGTGTGAATGAATCTCCTGCTGGGCTATTGCATTCTGACAGTAGTGGGTGTGCCACTATTAGAATACCCAAACAGTGACGGCAGCCAATTAGCTGCTGTCACCGATTGGCCACAAATTTTCTGACTGGCTCCTTTGATTTAGTGATCGAAGGATGCCAGATGGAAGGGTGCTGACAGGACCACCCACTGACCGGGACAGTATTTGCAGAGTGTATGGCCAGCTATGTTGCTTGTTTTTAGCTACTTTGACCGGTAGACTTGCAGTGAGAGGAACAGTAAAGCACAGTCAGTGTGAACCATTACTAACAGGGAGTAGAGGCTCCATGTGCAATAAAATATACCCATGTGCATATGTGTGTATATATATATATATATATATACAGTGCTTGAAAAATCCACTCGTCTGCGACGAGCGGACAGCAGAGCCCGACGAGCAGCTTCCCGGCCGTTGTAATTACACGGCCGGCCGGGAGCTTTACATTCAAGCGATCGAGCGTCTCGACGCCCGATCGCTTGTATTACCAGCAGCTGCCTTTGCCGGTCCCGAGATCCGCTGTGCCCGATGCGGCCGGGACCGCCACGGCTCTGTGACAGGAGATCAAAGGGAGATCAGTACACAATCTACCTTTGATCTACTCTCCAGTCCCGGAATGCATGAAGTGATGTATATTACATCACTTCCTGCATTCAGTGTCACTTTCCAGCTACAGAAGCTGATGAAGCAGTTCTCTGCTTCAATAGCTTCTTTGGGGGTCTCTAGGTGACATTAGGGGTCTTGGAGACCCCTGATGTCTCCATAAAGAGGACCTGTCATGTAAATTGGCTATCACATAGGGGACTTCTTAGCCCACCATGTGATAGCAATAAAGTTTTTGTTAAAAAAAAATGAAAGAATCATAAAAAAATTAAAAAAAGAAGCATTAAAAAAGAAAAAAAGATGTAAGTCCCCACCCCCCCCACATACACATGCTGATATGCGTCGGGTGCGCCTACGTGCAAAAACAACGATTGCACCTATTGCCGCTCATGTTACATATAACCGCGAACGTCAGAGTGTGAGCAATAATTTTAGGGCCATTAATTACTGATAACACTAAACTGATGAGTGGTAAAACCGTTTTAAGCGTCGCCTATGGGCAATTTTCAGTGTGGTCGGTTTTTGCGATTTTGCGGGTGCACGCAATTTTAAGGCTTATGTCTATTGGTGTCTATTTACCCGACGTGACCCCGCCTTTTATATTTTATCAAAAATATGGGTAAGAATAAATGGTTTATAACATAATGTAGGGGGAAAAAATGTTTTCGAAATTTACAGTACTTTTTTCATTATATAGTAAAAAATAACCCCTCCCCTCCCCCCCAGTGGTGATAATACACCTCCAAAAGAAAGCTCTATCTGTCCCAAAAATGTTTTACCATAAATTGCAAGGCTATAGTCCCGTCATGCTGACTGGTGACATTTTTGACTGACTGGTGAGAAACCTGAAAATTTTTTAAACAGGTTTGAGCAACAAGCATTAAAAACACTAACAAACACTGATGCACTATGTAGCCAAAATGATGCGGACACCCCTCCATAATATGGAGGTCATGTTTACCAAGCCAGGTCCAAAAAGACAAGTTTAAGTGTGTTTTTACAAAAAAATATTTTAGATTTTAGTAAATTTTTTAACTTTTAGCAGGTTTCGGGTTGTAGCACTGTGGCACTTAAAGGGTATGTAAACACTAACAGTGAACATCGCTTTTTGGTCTTTTTCTGGTCTGTTTAATAAAACATTATTCTATCTGTTTGATAAGTGCAAAGAAATACCAGTTGATTATCCCAGAAATCTTGTCGGCTGATAACTTCCTGTGCTCTCGGGTTGTGCGGCACTGTTATCAGATACATTGTTTCAGCTATGTCTCAGGACTACATAACCCCTCCCTCTGTTATGGCGAAGAGTAGAGGGGGAAATTTCTGTATGCCTATCCTAGGGTGACAACACTGCTTATCTTTAGATATCGTATGGGTGGGTAAACATTGTTACTCGAGCTCAAAAAGTGTGTTACTGACAGGAACTTCAGGTGAATATAAAGGTAAAAAGGATTATAATAAAAGAAAACAATGCAGTCACCACAGGTCCGGTAAGCCAAAATTAATATCTTTTATAAACTCTGTTTATTACGCTCACAAAAGCTACATAAAACCAATGTCATACGATGTGTGACGTGAATAAAAACCATAAAACAATGACAGTCTCGTGTGGTTCCTAAGGCGACGTATAATATAAAAGCAGTTATACCATATTCATCACACAAATTATTGTTTGTCTAAGGGGAATCATTCTGCGTTGAGGGTAAGTGTAGATTGACACCACATGTCCCAAATCTAGCAGACTGTTAGAGGGCGGTTACTTTTATCATATATGACTTTCTAAGGGATGCCCAATTCCTACCGCTCAGCGCCCTGAAGTTCCGTGTGTCGGGCAGGTATTTTTTGTTGCTACATTTAGCCCTGCTGTGGGCAAGCAGGGCTAAATGTAGAGCAGGGGAGCCGGAGCTTGTTTTGTTCATGTGACCTGGGCAGTTGTACAACTGCCAAGATCACTTGTAGCAGCCTGCTTGTCCAGCCCACCGTGGTTTTCAGGGTCCCTCGCTCTTCTTGGGGCCCCTCTACCATGGCAAATGACTTCAGGATGGAGAGCGGGTAGCAGACTGTAGAAGTCTATTCTCCGATCTGCTCTGTGGGATCAGTGAGACAGGAGTGCTGTACTCACAGTGATTCCTGTCACAAGTCATCAAATATCAGTTTCTGTAGTTTAATGCATAAATTAATGAAAGCTACAACGTGATTGGTTTCTTTTAGCAACGGTACCATAAACCTAGAATGACTGTTGCCAGATCAGGCCCAGCCAGCAGAACCTGTTCCAGTCACAATTGTTACCCCCTAAGATCAGAGATTCCGGCAGATCTGATCTCTCCCATAGCAAGAAACATGATATTCAGCTGAGCTGTTCTTTTGTGTTTCTGTGCTGGGTGAGTAGGCAAATCAAGCAGGCACACTTCACTACTTTCCTTGGTATCTGTGTGTCTTTATGCTGGTCAAAGAGACATTTTGGAATTGACCATGTGATCCTACTATCCTTGAGATAACCTCACTTACCCACCAACATCATTTACTGTGTTTACAGTTGCAGTGAAAAGATAGAAAAAGGACAGTTTAAACTCACTTCTACCACATCCTAATCACTAATGATCAGCGACTATGTCTAGGTTGCATCACAAATCTCTCTGTATATACCTAGCCTTACACTACGTTACTGTAATTATCACTGTGTTGATTATTCTGGATTTCTATCATTTCTAATCATATCTTAGTGGTATATGTTTTGTTAAATCCTTCTGCTGTTTTCCAGTTTGTTTTAAGCTTCCTTTCTCATTTCAGCCCACCAAAATCAAAGAATGTGGAACTGCCAATCAAGCCCAAGGCTGTTGATACTGTAGATGAATCTACGGTTGAAGTGCACGCCCCCAAAGGGAACATTGCTAGCAAGGTTTCTTTATTTGAGAGCAAGAAAACAAGCCACAGACAAATTGACTTTTATGCAACAAAGAACATTTCTCAGCCAAAGAAGTTTGTGGAAAGAGCCAAACTGAACTTTGGTAAACAGATCAAAGGAAATGTTGTGAAAGACAGCAGCTCAACTGTTAAATCAGCCAGTGAGCCTAATTTTGCCAGTAACAAAAAGATCGAAAATGGTCATGGTGTAGTAAAGGCAGACACTAAGGACAAGTCTGCCAACCATAAGGTGGATTGCACACAAAGTGAAGACACTCCCCAGGCTCAGGGAAATCTGATGCTGATGGAAGACAGGAGAAATGGTCTGGAAACGGCACCAGGAACCATAAAACCCCCACAAGAAAGTATTTTGCCTTCAGCAGAAAATGAACAACACGAGGACCAGCCTACTGAGTTAGCCAATGATGATGTTCCTTTAACTCAAAGTTTCACACAGAGCAATGATTTAGAGTATACAGTTAAAGCAGAGGAGCCTTTGCTACATTCATCACAAGTTTCTGACGATACTTTAGGTGGAAATACAGCTGTGCGAAAAAGTAGTACCGATTCAAGCTCAGACTCTGGCCATATAGAAATGGGAAATAAACACAATTCATTAAAAGAACAACATACAGATGCTGTTACAGCAGAAGAGCCGAACATTTGCCTTACTGAAGACTCCACAACATTACGTCCTGATCATGTAGATTCTGCTGTTAATGTTACACTGCCAACGCATACAGACGAGCTCCAGATTAATGGTAGTAAAGAAGTCATTGATAGAGAAAGACCACCAGAGCAGCCCACTCTGGAAGATGTGAAAACCAAGCCAGCTGAAATTATAAATGAGGAAACCATTCAGCCAGACGACATTACATATAACAATGTAAATACAGATATGCCAAATGAAGATGTACAACTGGAAATGTGCATAGATAACAGCAAACCTGACGACAACTGTGAGGTGCCTAATGGATTACTGCAGAATGAAATCATGAATGGAGACAAGCAAGAAAAAACAAAGCAGTTAAAATCAGAGGACATACATGGGAGAGAACAAACCATAAATGACCCATCTTTAGTGCAAGATGAAGTAGAAAACAAACCCAGTTATCTTGTCCATGAAGAAGAATGTTTACCAACAGCTAGTGCCATAGTCTCAGATGCAGTTATAAAACCTGAACAAAAGGAATCCATAACAGAAGTAACTCAGAATTCAATTATATGCTCAAATGAAACCAGTAATGGATACGAGGGAGTAAATTTAGTTGCTGAGGCAGTCTCTATGCAAGGAGAAGACAGTAATCTACAGAGCTCTACTAGTAGACAGAAAGGCAGCAATTTTTCAGCTGTAAGTAGCCATTCAGTAGAGAAAGTCCCATCTGCCAGTGCTGTCAAAACTGGAGATGACCAGGCTATTCTGAGTAGCATAGTTGCACCACAAGACCAGATCAATAGCAGTGCTGCAATACAGGACCAGAACAGTAGCAGTGCTGCAATACAGGACCAGAACAGTAGCAGTGCTGCAATACAGGACCAGAACAGTAGCAGTGTTGCATCAAATGATGTGGAAGATTGCAGTGTTGCACCACAGGACCAGAACACTGTAGCGATTGGGAATGCGGCTTATAGCATTGACTCCTGTTCAGAAGTCACAAAGGAAGTGGAGTCTCCGCACACTGTTATTGAACCAGAAGATGACCATTCACAAAATACAATGGATCTTCCAGCGAGCATAAGAGATCCAAGCATCGGTGAGCTAGATGTTGCTGTGGCTGTGGACCAAATAACAGAAAACCTAGAAAATATTGACAGTGCCCATGTGGACACATTAAACAATGCTGAAAAGAAAAAAGAAGGAAGCTTTAGCCCAACATCACATAACAATGATGTTGCTGTTGTAAATGAGCATGTCTTTGTAGTCGCTAGACCTAGTGCATTACAAAACGGCTCCCTTGATGATTCACGTACCACTATCTTTACCAATGGAAGCATACAACATACAGAAAATTACCAGAATTTCCTAGATGTACAAAGGAGTCCCGAATCCAGTTTCAACACTACAGTAGGAGGAGAGGACAGTGTTCTTGATTCATCTTCGGACATGGAAATTTTTGCTGAAACTATCAGAAAGTTAGACAGCTCAATCACTGTGCCTCAGAAAAGAAAAAAGCCCCGAGCTCCCAAGCCGCCGGGTGTGTATTTTGGCCTGCCCCCTATCCATGAGGATTATTTGGAAAAGATATTGGACAATGACTCCTTCTCCTTTGGCTTGGGAAAGAAAGATAGGGCCAGAGAGATTGCGCCTATGGCATTGTTTAAAATGCAGAGCAAAGAGACTGCAGAGAAACTAAAGCCTAAAAGGGCATCAGCGGAACAAAGCATGCTTTTGAAATCTCTGAGGTCACAAAAAGAACCACTTTCAGTGCCACAGGAAACATGTGACAAGGAAAATGCAGATGTTACTGATGTAGCAGTCAAGAGATCTCGAATAGACTCATTCTACTCTGGCCTGAAATCACCGTTTGCAGCAAGGAAAGAGAATGTGTTCTCTCCTACAGTCACCACAGTCAGCACAATTACTACCTCCTTCGACACACCCAGGAAGGAGTTCACTCCCTTAGGCAAAACCTGTGATCTTAAAACTATAGATTGTTCGCAGACAGCTCACACAGCAGAGAGGGAGGATTTAGCAGTGGCGTCCTCAGATTTCTCACAAAGTACGCCCGCAGAGCACTCACTATTTACACCTGTATGCAGCATGGACAACCACCTGGAGACCAAAGCGGGTGGACACACTGACTCGGCCGTATCACGGCCTGATATCAACCGCCTGCCAGAGCAAAATCACTGTACAACTGATGGGAAAGAAGCGCTGCTACTTTTAAAAAGCACTCCTGCTAAAGATTTCACTGACATATTTTTGTTTAAGGGACAGGAGCAAGGAGCCTCCGTGCCAAGCCTTCATTCAGAGGTGAGTGCTAACTTCCTTGGTTACAACATTTTTTTCTCTTTATTTACACATACTCTGATAAGTGTTGCCTAGTTCTTTACTTAGAGGGTGTATGGCATACTAGGACTTTGTAATTGTAAATGTAGTTGTAAATGTTAAGAGAATCACTTTAGAATATAAAGCCTACAGTCTGAATTGTATTTGATTTTCTGTCCTACTTACTGACCCCTCATTTTAGCTAGCCGTGTTCCAGGTTTAATCCTGGCTGCCATCCTTGTTGGGTTATACTGATTTATTACAACCTGAAGTAAGACACAATACCGGTCACGGCTTAGTTCTAGAGATATGTTCATAAAAAAAGCTGAATGGACCATATAAAGATAATGAAAAAGATAACAGAGCCAGTTTGGAATATGTTCATTGCCTTTTTCCTAAAGAGTGCTAGTAGTAATTGCCTATGAGCATATAGTATCAGTCATATAATTACACAAATGTGAAATGAAAATGTCATTAAAAAGAGGACTGCAGCGGGTCATATTCTCCTGCTTCTGAAAATATGAGCTGCCTAGATCTTCCAGAATAAGGCAGCCTACATATTTCACTATTCCTTTCAGGGAGAAAGCAAGCATCTCAGGTTGGGGGCACTAGATTCCCACCTGTTGGATAGTCTCTCTGCGAGCATTAGAAGTAATGAACCGCTGTCACTGTTGAGGGAGTATTGCAGTGAATCCAGGCCAGAATTCTGATGTGAGGCAATAATCAGATCTTGTAATGGTTAAGAAACGGCAGAGAAGCTCTATCATAGGACCAAAGACTTCAGTGAATGCCTCACATATTTTCTGGCATGCTGGGAAATCTTTGCTAGATTAATAGTTGTACCTTTTGCCACTCGTGTGAAAGAAAAAAACTGGAAAGGTGAAATAAAATCGCTGTTGTAGCCTTAGTTACACAACCGGATTTACAAGCCTGGTGAGACCTGCCATGTTTTGGTGCAGTGACTAGAGACCTACTTGTGTGCGGCTAATTGTATGTTGGTTTTCTTTTTTAATTATAAAAGATTGTAAGGCATGTCATGCTATTCATATTAAACAAGGCTGTGTTATCAGGATCACTTGATGACTAAGGATTTTTCAGCAGCTCAAATACTTCTAACTGCAAGTCCTAACATACACGTTTGTACATTTTTCTTCAAATACTCAGATGAGCACAAATAAAGAAATGGCTTTTCTGAGCACTTGGCGGTGCCTTGCGCAAAGTAATAACTGGCTGAAACTGCTTTTACTAAACTCATTCAGGATTATTCTAAAAATTTATATCAAACACTAACGCATTATAATTATACCATCTTAAATCCATAGCAGCTAGCAGAAGGCATCAGATGAAGTCTGACATTACAGCCAATCAGCTTATGCCTTTCATTTACTGACCTGCCTTAGAAAATGAACTGGTGAAGCAGATTGGTTTCTGCAACCAGTGCTGTTCTTGTATCAATATGATGCACTATTTCTAGACTGGAGGAGTACTAGTCTGTTCTAGGGACATTACAGTGACATTTCTCAATTTTTCCTTTTTTCATCCACCTTTTATTGAAAGAATTCCTGTGAAATGTTTATGGCAGGCACTTGGCAAACAACTACATGTGCACATAATACTCAGTGAGTGTGATTAAAAAGTTTGGAAAGCAAAGTGTTCATCCTACTAGATGGGAAATCCTGTCACCTCACAACATTAAAATCAGCGATTTCCCTTAGTTAAGACAAGCCCAGGCTTCCTATGGAAGATCTTTCAGTATTTTTATTCAACAATGGCAATTGTTTTAGTTGAATGGTAATTCTGTTTAATCGACACACAGCAGGACTTGTATGTTGTGTAGCTACAAAACATTTGGAATAGTCACCTAGGCAGTATGAATTCACATATCCAGCAGATATCAAGAGCTGATCAAGAAATGTAAGGCTCTAAAGTAAATCACAGAAAGCAAATACATGGTAAAGTATAGTCCAAAACGCATGACTACAGTGACTCCATATGTATAATAAGTGAGCCTGAAAATAAGGGCTGTTGCTGTACCAAAGTGTTTTGCTCTTTTTTTAAAAAAATCTTTACATAATTCTGCATCTGGTATCTATATGCAACATGGACATTTCCTTGAGAAACTTACGGGGCTATTCACAAAGGTGTGAAGAGTTTGGAGAAGGCAGGAGAAGTGATCAATCTAGGACAACATAGCTGATTTGGAAAAAGTGTCCAATTCAGCTCACTTTCCAGTTCAGCTATGTTGTCCTAGATTGTTCACTTCTCCTGTCTTCTCCAAACCCTTCACCTTTTTGTGAATAACCCTGTTAGACTTCAAGAAACTGAGAGTCCAATAAACATTTATTTTTAACAATACACAAAGTGATTTTTTAAACTAAATTTATTGAAGTCGTTCCCACATCAAAGAAAGTTCTAAGTACTTTTATTTAGAATGGCTTTTAGGTTGACATCTTGATAAAGTGGGGGCAGATGTAAGGAAAACAACTCATTAAACTTTGTACATGAGCTTTGTGTCTCTTGTGAGGATCTGCCTGCTATTTATTTTTTACAGCTGGGTGTGATGCCTTTTAATTAATCTGACAGAGTAGGTTAATCATTAGAGTCCTTCATTTACTTGTTCTAGTCGTTCATCTAATCATGCAGTATAAAGGCAGCGACACCTATAGGTTAGAAGACTGTACTACATAGCAGTAGATAAAACTGGTCATTATTATGCATTGCAATAAAGTACATTGAGATGTATTTACAAAGCAGCAAATTATCGATTTGGTGGGCAATCATATGGGACAGGACAAGACACCCACTGGAAAATCTCATGTACTTATAGAGCTGGTTAACCTGAGTGCATCGCTTTTCGTGCAGTTTTCACTGCTTCTGGAATTTCTAGTCCTCAATTATCAACAACAAACTATTTGGCTCTTTAACGTTGTCAATTTTTATTAAGTCCAATTTTTATTTCTCCATCCCAGACCAATAGAAAAACTGATTTTTGTTGAAGGATTTAATGCTAATTTCTGTAGAGGGACCCACAATCAATTCAGTAATGCTCATCATAATCATACACATTTACTACAATGTCAACAGCCTGCAGATGTGCAATGTTCCTGGATTAAAACTCTTATTATAATTACGTCCCAAAATGTCTGCTATATTTTAACACATGTTAACCCAACAAAATTGCATGTGGATTCCAGCAAATGAAACCATGGAGACTGCAGACAGTTTTCTTTCGGGCAACCAATCAGTTTCTCTCATCAGTTTGTTTAGTTAAACTTTACTGAAAATGAAACAGCGAAGTTAATTGGTTGCTGTGGGCAACTGCTCCAGATTTTGTCTACTCCAGTTTAGATTGTGTTTAGATACTGCTGTTACCTGTCTTTTGATTATATTGCATAATATTTAAGAGTTGTATTTTTCAGGGTCAGCAAGGTGCCCAAAAGATCAACCCCAGACCAGGAAAGGTAAAGCAAAATGTTCTCTGATATTGTTTATTATGGCGTTTCTGAGTGACAACACGATTGAAATGTTGTAATGTGTTTGTTGCAGTTGGTGATTCTCACAGAAGCTGAATGTGGAGGTGCTGTATTTGAAGTGTTTGCTGACATAGCGGATTGTAGTTCCTGGGAACTTTCTCCTATTATTTTCATCAAAACAATTAGAGGATGGTAAGTCATGTCTATTTATTCTGCAGATTGAGTTTTACATTAAGATTCTGTGTATTTTAGACACAAGCAAATACAACTGACACAGCTAATGAAATAGTTCAGTGAGCAGCAATATAGCCCAAGCAATCACACATAACGTTAGCATTTGCTGGACAAATTCAAAAAGACTCTTCTCTTATTTATTATGCGAGTCTCTATGTATTGAATAAAATGTGCACTTACCCTGGTTTGTCTTTTTCCATGGCTTTTATATACCTGTTTAATTGCTGAGCAGCTTTGCTTCTTGGCATTGCTTTCCTAGTGATTAGTAGAACTCCCAGCCAGGGGCGTAACTAGAAATCACAGGGCCCCATAGCAAAATTTTGTATGGGGCCCCGTGATTGCTAGTCATGCCACTTGCAGAGCCCCAGCGGAAAGTGACCCTGCAGAGCCCACCATAGACTCTCTGTAGTGGGCTCTGCAGGGTCTGAGATCTCTTACCTGTCAGCGCCTCTGTGGTCGCCAGGCCCCGACTCCTGTTCGGTCCCCGGGCCCCGCCTCCTCTGCTATCGACGGGCCCCGCCTTCTCGAATGCACATGTAGTGAGGTTCATTGATACAGAATATCAGAGAATGCACAGATCTGAATCGCTGTGCACACAAGAGATGTGCTGACCTATGCTGTATGTAAAAGACACAGGCTTAAAGCTTTGTGTCGCAGCAAGCATTAAAGTGCATCTGTCATGGCACATCTGCCTTCCGCATGTTCTGTAACCCTAATGTTTACTGTCTTTGCAGACTGCCCCCTGTATGATTTTGGTATACTTGAAAGTAATAGTAAAAATTCTCCTGTATTTATGTAGAAGGCTGTTTAACCTGCAGTTCAGTATTCTGTATTAAATTCTGGTTAATCACAACTGGACTTTAGATGATGTTCTTTGTGCGATGATCATGCAGGGACAGCAGACATGTGGCAGGCTGGTGTGTCATGGGTCAGCCCTGGTACAGAAATGCGTGGCTGTAATGATGCGGAAAGGGATGCCAAGAAAAATGCAAACTGTAAAACGCTTATTATTACTTATACCGGGAGTAGACAGTAGTTAGTTGAAATTAAAAACCTCTTATAATCTGCAGCTAGATACGAGTGGTAGATTCATGACATTTCTGTTTTAGGTGGGCATCAGTGGTTTAAGTCGCCCAATGGTTTAATGAGGAACTATAGTCTTTGTGATGTGTGTTAGCTATGTATGTGAGAGATATATAATATGATCAGTGTAAGGGCTTTTGTTTCTGTGTAGAGATTTTAATGATATATGCGCATGGAGTAGTTATAATGATTGTGCCTTTTTAGATCTGCTTGTCTCAATGCAAGTCTTCTAGGCAGGGTTTGTCTCTAATCACATGCAATGCCCTTGGTGTTCCATGGTGATCTTAACCTATAGTAGTGTGCTCTGAAATAATGGTATTTCATTCATGACAAGAAAGTGCTGACTGGTATAATACTGATTCATGTTTTCATTCAAGTTTGAATTGTAATGATAGGTCCACTTTAAATTATTTAGCAGCTGAAGTAGTATGATCCTCTGCTCAGAATATGGCTGTCCCGTTCCATTTTTTGTTATTGCATGTATTGACCATGAAACCTCTTTCTCTAGTTGGATACTCTATGAAAATCCTAATTTTGAGGGGAGAACTATTCCTTTAGAAGAAGGTGATATTGAAATTACTAATCCATGGGGAGAAGAACAAGAAGAAGAAGGTCCTCGTATACCTGTAGTGATTGGTTCATTAAGACATGTGGTCAAGGTAAACAACACAATGCAATATAGACAGGCAAACCTTTGTCTGTAATTATAAATGCTGCACTTTTTGAAACATGGTATTATAATGACAAAGTAATTGTGTATTATTAAAAAGCAGATTTCATGGTTTCCCTGACACTAAACTCAGGAGTTACATCTTACAAATGTACTAAGGTACCTTAATAATTAACATAAATGTTATCTTACTTGTGTATCACTCGGCTGTAGCTCCTCAAATCATCTCTGAATTAGTGCCGACACTGTCCTTCCTTCTGGAGGGTGGCTACTTTTCTTCCCCATGGTCCATATGTGTTGGAAAGTAGCCACTGCCTCCAGCTCACTCCCGTAATGGACTACAATCTCACATTTAGTTTACTAATTTGTATTGAAATTGTAGTCTATCACGGGAGCGAGCTTGGAGCAGTGGCTACATTGCAACACTTCCTGTGGCAGAAAGTAATAGGAAATCCAAAATTAAACAGGTATCTATTGAGCAGGAAGTGAAAATCGAACAGATGGACCTGTTCCAGTGACAACTGTTTACGAGGGAGTGTCACCTTGTTTGGGGAAGATTTCCTCTCACTTCCTGTTGTATCTCTGGGGCAGGAAGGGAAGGAACATTTCCCCACTAGGACAAAGACAGCATAAAAAATGTTTTACCAATCCCTATTTTGTCCAAAGCAAAACAGTTTTGGCTTTAGTTGTACTTAATTGTCAGGAAAAGGGTGGGCAGAGCCAAATTCCTCTGCAGAAGTCAGCATTGGGGTAGCAGCTTGAATACTGCTCTCCTCTGTTATGTAAAGGTATGTGCAACTCTAGGTGTTGGCTGTCCACTTCACCCTAGGATCCAGAACAGCAATAGGAAGCCTTGGGAAATCAAACCCAATTTCATTACACCCAAAATACAGAGATGTGTGCTGGGGCGCGATGCTTTCTATAGCTAAAAAAAAAAAAAAATGATCAGACACATTTAATATGAGAAATAACATGGAACAGTAATCCCATGACAATAGATCAAACATATTTCACTTCCTGGACAGCAGTAAACTGAACTCTGCTTGGTATGGGGTTACAAACGTTTACACATTAGAATTGTTGTTTGCATTGCTTTATTCAATAGGCTTAGTCATATTTAACAAATAAGAGTAATATGTTCTATTTACAGCACCTCCAAAGCCACCTACAGTATACCTTGAGCTTAATTCTGAAAGGATATAAAGCAGAAATTGAAATACATGTGTTTATTTATTAACAAAGGGTCCATTTATTTAAGAGTGTGAAATAAGAACTACCTGTGTTGTGCCATAGCAAGTAGACATATTTAAACTTGCCACGGAAGTGGACATTAAAGTCCAGAGATCAAATGTAATATTTAGCATCACAGCTCTTATTTCAGACAATGATAAATGAGATTGCTGCTTCAAAGTAGAACAGCTTGTTATAGGTAAACACTCAGAAGTTTATTGGAGGCAAATTAATCAGAACTGACTTCTGATTCTGGGTGCTGTGGGTTGGAACTGTTATTAAAGGAAGGCAAGTTGCATTTATTTATATGTATGCTTGTGGTTTTATATGAGTCACTGAGCCGTATTAGTCATATGGAGAAATGACTCAAATTTCCTTTTTCATGTTTTGCAAACTCTGTATGTCTTTTTTCGGTTGCCAAAACACTATTTGTAACTTAAAAACTAGGAAGAGAGAGACGGAGGCTGATTTACTAGAGGAGTTGAGAATGTTCACACAAAAAGGGCAAAGATTCATTTAATTACCTAATTATCTGCAGATGAGATAAACAGGAATTGACTTTTCACACAATTGGATAATTGAAGTGAATTTTTATTCTTTTTTTTGTCTGAACATTCTTTAGTAAATCAGCCTTAAGGTGCCCATACACCTTGCGATTATCGTACGATAATCACGGGAAATCCCGCGATCGTACAATAATCGCAAGGTGTATGGAAGGCGTGCGGTCGTTTTTACTGTACGCTCGCACGTCTTTTGTCAAGCCAGCATGCTAGAAAACCAGCCGAGAATCGTAGATTGTCGGCAGGTTTCTAGCCTGCTCGTTCGACAACTGCGGAACGGGCCTGTGTGCGCAAGCGCACACTGCCCTTTCAGCATTGCGGTTATCGGAAGCCCGCCCCTCAGCGGGGCGAGCTTTCGATGATCGCAAGTACGATCTGCCTGTCCAAGATGGGCAGATCGTACGAGCTTTTAATTCGCTTACTACCATCGCAAGACAAAAGTCTTGCGATGGTTGTAAGGTGTATGGGCACCTTTACAGTCTCTCTAAATCCTTACTGTGAACCTGTGTTGCTTTTTACACATATAAAAGTAAAAAGCCTGTCCAAGAAAATACACTGGATGTTTTCTATGACCTTTACTGTTCAGAAAGTTATGTTCAGATTTACTTTCACTTTGTCGTTCGAACCCAACTTTTATCCTGCATTGAGTCACCACTGGGCAGAGTCATGCATGTTCTGTGCTGGGTCATGTGACACACACTTCCTGACCTTCCACACAACCCAAAGTATGTTCCTGCCGTGAGTCACCACTGGGTAGAGTCATGCATGTTCTGTGCTGGGTCATGTGACACACACTTCCTGACCTTCCACACAACCCAAAGTATGTTCCTGCCGTGAGCCACCACTGGGTAGAGTCATGCAGGTTCTGTGCTGGGTCATGTGACACACCCCCTGACCTTCCACATAACCCAAAGTATGTTCCTGCAGCGAGCCACCACTTGGTAGAGTCATCCATGTTCTGTGCTGGGTCATGTGACACATTTCCTGACCTGCCACACAACTCAAACTATTGGATTGCATAAGTTTTTTGCTGCCCAGTAGCAATACACTCTTGAGAGCCTCTGCAATGACTGCTAGACTGCCGTGTGATTATGACTTCCTTGTGCAGATCTCCACAGACTCCCTCTTCCCTGCCCATAATGGAACAGAATAGTGTTCTACTACAAGCTGACTCGCAGCCCAGTCTAAGTTCAGTGCTTTGCAAAGTCCTGAGTCCAATTCATATACTGTTCTGCATTGCAGTATAATGTATTGCTGAGATTTGTAGTCCCCTACAGCCGGTGCCATTCTGCATTAAAGTGTAAGCTCCTCTGTACAGAAACTAACGTGACTGGCTCAGTGTTCCCTGTACAGCACTGTGGTATATGTCAGTGTGAGACTGTGGGGGGACATTAGAGTGTAAGCGCCTCTGGTGCAGAGACTGCCGGGGAGGTTGGGGGGCCAGTGAGATCCAACCCCGCCCCCCCCCCTCTTGGGAGGGGGGCCCAAGATAAAATCTTGCACCAGGGCCCTTTGTTTCTGACACTTTCTACTACCATGTTCACACTGATGCACATTTGGCAGGAATTAGTTAATCTACTGTTTCTGACTGTAACAATAGGTGAGCTTTTCCTGTTTGGCTGCAGCATTGAGACCAGTTGAGTTGCTGCCACACAGGAAATGTTCTTCTACTGTCACTTATTCAATACTACAGTATATTTTGATTTAGGAATGTGTAAACCCCATTTTATAGGAGTATCTGTGCTAAATAAATTCACATTAGTACTCTAATACTAATCAGATGTGTAAGGGTGACCACACATTATCAAAGCTCTTGACTGATGATTTTTGTTTTTAGTAAGGCTCAGTAAATTATTATTTCACTGAGTCGAACTGGAGCTTTGATTTAGTTGATGTAAGGATGAAGCCCAATATTGGAAATGTCTACATGCAATAGCAAGCAATCCTGATGCTCAGAAATGCACATTATTAGTTAAAGAAGAACTCCAGGGCAAAACTTTTATGAACCCTTGCAGTGGGGCTACCCTTGCACTGCAAGGGTTAACTGCTCGTTTCATCTAGGTGCTAAAATATAATTGTTATACTCACATGATTCTCGGTAGCCCCACGGATAGGGTTGATGCACTTTATTAAGATAATATGTTAATAGGTTTTGGAGCTGTTCATTTTATTATACAGGGTTTATATAGCGCCAACAGTTTGCGCAGCACTTTACAAAATGGAGGAGACAATACAGTTAACAATACAATTTCAGTACAGGAATGTAGGTCCTGGTAGTCCTGCCCCTGGTAGTAGAGTCCTGTAACAGGTCTGGTACATGAAAGATCAAGTGTATGTAATGGGCATGCTTGTGAGAGCTTACAATCTAGTAGGAGGGGCCAGTGATACAAAAGGTAATAATTGTGCGCGATGATTTAATGGAAGAAGTAAAAGAACCGTTATATAGAGGTGGAATAGGCTTCCCTGAGTTTTCAAGGATTGTCATCACCTTCTAGGAGTTCTTCTTTAACGTCATCTTCTGTTCAATCATTATTATTATTATACAGGATTTATATAGGGCCAAAAGTTTGGGCATCGCTTTACAATATAAGGAAGACATGTGGGGATGAATTGTTTGAGAACCCGATGGTTGAGTGGTTGGTTTGAGGTGGTATAGGCTTCACTGAAGAGATGAGTCTTAAGGGATTGCCTAAAGGCAGTCAGAGTGGGATATAGTCGAATAGGTTGGGGTAAAGAGTTCCAGAGGATGGGAGAGAATCTAGGGATATCCTGGAGGCGAGTATGGGAGGAGTTGACAAGGGATTATCTTATGTAATGCTCATATCTCTCATACCACTTGTACTCATCAGTCCTTAAATAGACACACATGTTTATAAAGCAGTAATGTGACTTTCAACAAACAGTCACTGGTGGTGAATCAATCACTGTGATTTAAAACAATCACTTGGAAGCTTCACCTACAGAGAATGTTTGCTAAATATCAGATTTGCTACTTTACAGGTATCCACTTTTGAGTCCGATTTACTAGATTTTGAAGTGCAGTGAAGTTCTTAAGGTTTAAATTCTACTGCGTATGATTGGATGTTTAATGTGCATGTCACATTTTAGTAAATTGAGCCCATCTGTCAATCGGTGACCCTTACCGTAGCATTTCGGCAGAAGGCCCATGGTAATGAAATGCTAAACATTCGTGGCCGTTCACACCAGTTAAAAAAATATTTTTTTTGTATCTCTGATGTAATATCTTTAAAACACATGTTACATGGAGTCCAGTGGTAACGCATGCTATACAATGTAAAGGATGTCACCAGCACACCAAGTTGTTTGTGTTCAGCAAATGTCCATTTTAATGACAATGACATTGCTCTGGTTTTCTTTAGTTTATTTTGCCTTATTGTAATCCTTTTGCAATATGTTGTATCACTGTACAGTGTATTATGTAAGTCACATGGTTTGGTCGACCAATGGCACTGCACCACTGAGCCGCTGGAGCCTGCATCTGATGGTTGCCACGGTCCTCTTGTTCACTATGCGCATGCGTGAGTGAGCGATACGGCCCCACCCAGACAGACTGAGCTACAGACATGGACGTCCGTGCGTTCCACGCGGCGCTTGCGCTGGTGGACCAGGGGCGTGTCCTACGTCCTCCTCAGCGTCGGGTATCCCTAGTAACCGATCAGACTGCTAACAGCCGTGACAGCGGACCGTGCCAGTCTTCCACATGTCAGTGTTATGTACAGTAAGTTTGTTTTCCACTTAATTTTTGAATCTTTTGTGGCGGGAGAATTGTTACTGGTTTTTCTACAGGGGTGGGATTTGGTCTGCTTTCTCATTCTGAGCCTGATGACCCTGCGAGGCCAGAAAGTACTAAAAAAAATAAATGCTATTGAATTACATTGTCATTAAAATGGACATTTGCTGAACACAAACAGCTTGGTGTGCTGGTAACGTCCTTTACATTTTCGTATTATCTCACGGTGCCACCGTGGTCACTGCGAACATCCATTTGTATTTTTTTCAAAAATCCTGTAAGGAGTGCAGCAAGATACATATACTTTTCGTTACACATGCTAGAACGCATGTAAAACTCAGTTTAACTCAAAGGTGGGAACCGTCCTTCGTAGCTACAGTGAAATCTCATGTTGCAAGAGGTACGGCATTTTGTTATATTTTCTGAACAATCTATAAAATATTTAATTCTAAGTTTGTGTTTGAAATGTAAAAAGTATTTCCTTAGTAATCCTCCCCCACTATGTGCTCATCATACAGTAGCGGACACAAGGTAATATTTTTCCCTTCACTCACAGCTCGAGAATCCCTTCTCCACACCCTTACTAGAAAATGATAACTATTTACAAGAAACAGAAATAAATGTCAGAGTGCATATCACAGATTTCTCTGCGTATTTATAACCTGACTTGTATTAGAAGCTATCCTGTGCATCTTTGGAATGCAAGTACATTACATCTTGAGCTCTCTTTTCACAACAATGACTTTAATGTGGAAAAATACTTTTTTTTTTAGGATTACAGAGTTTGCCAGATCGACCTGTTCACAGATCCAGGAGGTTTAGGAATCATGACATCACATGTTGATGATACAGAAGAGGTGCAAACGTATGGCAGGCTGCAGAGAACATGTTCCATTAAAGTGCATTGTGGAGTGTAAGTAACAAGTTTTCAGAACACCTGACCGTAGTGCTGGTTTTCAGAGCAGTATTCATTTAGAGACATCAACTCAGGTCATGTGGAAAGCAGTGGTTAAGGGGTTTTCAAGTGGTTGACAGATGATTTCACTAAATGTTTGTATTTTATTTGCACTAAATCATACCATACTTTGTCAATCCAGTGCCCCCTAAGTACTGTGTAACCACTAAGCCTGGACTTCCCATCTGTACTCGCACACATTTGTACCTGACCTGTAATGACTGTAGGTTGTGGACTCCGGCTCCATATTGAACATCCACTAGAGGTCATTAAAAAAAACTTGGCTTTAAATAACGTGACCAGTGTTACAACAATGATGTCAATGGTGATGGGATTCAGAAACACTGTTTTTAATGTGTATGTAAAACCAAAACCATCTGTGTCCTTTTGGGATGATTTACCTTCACTACCTCTTATGGAGAGGCAACAGGAAGTGAGAGGAAATCTACAAAGTGAGGGAAATGCTCCACTGAGATGGTTGTCACTGAAACAGGTGTTGCCACTACTTGTCCAGTTTTCAATGTACCATCACTTTCTGTTCCAGTGACAATGGACCCCAGGACAATTTGAGAGGGTGTCCTTCCTACCTAGGAAGGACAGCTACTTTCCCTACCCTATCCAAAACTGTAGATAAACTTTAGCATTATGTGGACGAACTAAGACAGCTATGTTTAGGTAGTTTCTGTAGTATTTGATATGGCTTACACAAAGTAGCACTTGCTTGATAAGTTACTTTGTAACTTTAAAGATACTTGCTTTATAAGTTACCATAAAGATGGTCTGTGCCTATTACATCCTTTAATGGAATCAATTATGCATCATTTGTGCATCATTTGTTTAAATAACCATTACTTTGATAGATTAAACAGTGTTTGGTCAGACAGCTGGTTTAGTTTTGTAGGAATCATTTTAATGGAACTCAATTATAACAATTCCCTCACAGTTATAGAACTGCGTTATCTGTTAGAACAGGTTTACATTCACTGCATTTGTTTAACATTTTACTGAAGTTCTTTAAGCAAATGGTGAAGTGAGACTCATGTCCTTGAAGAGACTACATCGACTCCCCTAAAGAAATTAATATTGGGAAGTATGTAAAAAAAAAAAGATTAATGCTCAGTAGAATAGATGGTCTGTTTGTTTTTTTAATTCCCCCAGTGCGGTTCCCTAGCTTTGTATATTTGACCATATTAAAGTCCATTAATAAAAGGCGTAGAAGCATTGATCCACTGTGTCCATTACAATTGCCATCAACTTTTACCTAGAACAGTGCCAGTTTTTAAACATGTAGCAGTCTGTGGAGACTTTGTTCTTTTGTGCCAGCATTTTACCATTTGGTATTTCTCACATGACTTCCTTACCCTGCCTATATAATATTGTGACATGCCCTAATTCCTGCTACCAACACCATTAGGGATCTGAATAACCACAGTTCACTATTTACTATTATTTCCATGCCATGGCTAGGTGTCCGACAGGGATAGGCCCTTACGGGCATATGGAATTGAGGGGAGACCTGACTGTATCAGACTGTTCTCAAGACAGCAAAAGATTGTTCAGCATCTAATCCCGCTCGGTGCCTGTTCCAAGTGAAGGGCACACTGTGGGTATGCAGAAAGGACATGAAAAAGATGTGCCAAGGTTATTATGCAAGGGAGCAAGGAAAAGAGAGGTCTTTCTGGGAGCATTGATACTGGTAGTGGAGATGAGGGAGCACCCTGACGTGTATGCAGATGGTGAACAGTCTGGATAATAGTTTGGAGGGTCTGGATAATGGATTGTTACACTATAACAAAAAACAAAAAATATATATATATATAGTATACTTTAACAGGTTAATGGTGGGGGGATGCATGTCCTTATTTTACTGTAAACAAAGAATGTGCTGAATTTACACAGATCTGACAGGGTGTGGCCTTACAAGCAGTTATGTTGTTTAACCAGATGAAGATGCATGTGAAACAGATGGCTAGAGGCAGGCAAAACAAAAAATAAATCCGGCTTAAAGTGGAGTTTTTGAAACATTGGTATGTCAGATGATCATGGTCAGTTGTACAATACCCTTACTGTCCCCATTGATATTAGTAATAATCTGGTCACAGGGAGTAAACATGGCATGGCAAATAAGCATGCACTCTCTAATACACATTACCACAGGAGAAATAGAATACCCAGCATAGATCATTTTGTAAGAATGTATGCCAAATTCTATAACTATGTTGATGAGTCACAGAGGACTTATGGTAGTGAAATATTTTTTGCCATTGAGTGGATAAGGCTAAAACCTCTGTTACATTTTATTGCTGGGGGAAATTTTCCTTCACTTCCTGACCCATCACTGGGATAGCAACTGAGGGTTAATGTCCCCAACAGGGACACTAATGGCAATAGTTATATTCTGAGCCTGATGAAGGGGGCCCTGCGAGGCCCCCGAAAGTACTTGCAACGGAATGGCAATCTTTGTCATTAAAATGGATGTTTGCTAAACACAATTATCTTGGTGTGCTGGTGACATCTTTTTGAACTAACGGCAATAAAACACCTTTTATAGTAGAATGAGACATTTCTTTTAGGTGTAATCTGTTTCATTGGGACAGATAGCGCTGGGAATAAATAGTAAAACTTTTACCAACAAATTATCATGTAATTTGCGCACCTCCATATATTTACCACAAATGATAATCAAGTCAGTTGGCTGATTAAAATACTACAATAGGACAACTTTTATATAACATAGCAGAATGGTAAAGCTCAAAATGTTTGCTTTTACTTAAAGGAGAACTATGGGGTTAAGGCTTTTCCCTATAGTTCTCCTTAGGGTAACCGGAGGACACAAACTAGCGTCCTCCGTCACCCTAGGCTCAGTATACCGCAAGCTACTGCTCGCGGTATACTGAGACGCCGCAGCTGAAGCGGATCCCGACAATTATGTCTGGATCCGCCCAGTTGCATGAGTGACAGCTGGCTCTGCCTACCTAGAGGCAGAGCCAGCTGTACCCTCCCCCGTCCGTTCTGCCAGTCAGCGCTGGCGGAGTGGGGAGGGGGGAAACTAGCCCCTCCCCTGTCACGGCAGGTATGTGTTCGCTCACCTCCCGATCTACTGAGCCGACCTGTGGCAGTCTCATTGTCACAGGTCCACTAGAACTATGAGGTGAGTGAAAAGCACTCGCCTCATAGTTCTTTAACATTTACTTTAGGAGACCTTTATTCACCTTGGTGCTACATTGTGATGCATAAAAGAAAAGAAAATGGTTGGCATACATTGTTAGTGTAGATTAATTCAGGTTGAGGAGGGCACAAATTAGCAAGGCTGTGCCTTTTTTACAGATTTGTGATTGCTAAAAATTCAAATGACGTAATTTACGTGAGCATTTGATGCTTATACTGTAAATGTCATCCAGATCATCCAATGTCATAGTTGTGACCTGGAAATTCATGCGTGTATGTATCTATATAAATATATTGGGGGGAATTTATCAAAACTGGAGCAGCTGTGAATGGCATCCAATCAGCTTCTCTCTTCAGTTTATTCAGTTAAGATTTGAAAATAAAAAGAGAAGCTGATTGGTTGCTGTGCACAGCTGCTCCAGTTTTTGTCTGCTCCAGTTTTGATAAATCCCCTCACTGTATGTATATGCTGTATATATATTAGTGCGACCATGACATTCCTTCTTTGGCCCTCTGCTGATTCACTCATACGTCCTGTCTCAGATGGATTATCCCTAGAGAGATATACAGGTATACATCTATTCTCATTGTTACATGCATTTTAAATGTCTACTTTGCTTGTTTGTTTGGTTTTTTTAAAAAATTTCATTTGCACACATTTTTCACTGCCTCCTAAAAGTGGGACTCCGGACACAATTTGCTTTTTAGTTTTAGTATACAAGAGTGGAAATATCCCATCAGGGCTACAGGCAGCAATACAAATCTGACAGACTTTGTAATCCTTCTCTACTAAGGTGAACTAAAATAAGAAAATGTTTTGGATACTTTAAAAAAGCCTAGACTTTTAGTATATGACATGCTGGTAAATATTTTTTTATTTCTGATGAAGCCCTCTCTTTTTATATATAGATGGCTAATTTATGAGGAAGCTGGATTTCAAGGGATACCATTTATACTGGAGCCTGGAGAATACCCCGACCTGTCATTTTGGAATACTCAAGAAGCATACATTGGATCAGTGAGGCCTTTAAAAATGGTGAGATCCTTGTATTGATTGTATCATCTCAGTTGCTACAGACTTTGAAGTTGAAACAGGTAGAAAAACTAATGAAAGTGTTTGTGTATCTTTCACATTTATAATTCTTAAAGCTTGACCATTGTCAACAGAACTAAAAGTGAAAGTCCAAAATTTTGAGTTGCCACTTGTACAGAAATAGAGGGGAACTCCTCCAACTGGGACATTGGGTTTTTGTGACAGCTGTCTAAGGGTCGGTTCACAATACAAGAGTGTGTTCCAGAGCCTTCGGCCTCTGGAACGCAAACCGGCCTGCTCCATGCGTTCAGGTGCGGGAGGGGGCATGGCGGTGCATTGAAGTCAATGGCAATGCAGCCATGCCCACGGTGCAATCGCCTGCACCTCAACACGTGGCACATTAATGCCTGCCTTCTGGTCCAGTGCGATCTGCAAAAATAGTACATGCAGCATGTTTGCAGATTGCACTGGACCAGAACGCACACATTAATGTGCCACGCGTTCGGGTGATCACACTGCGGGCGTGGGGGCCTGGCAGTGGTGCCATTGACTGCAATGCACCGCCACGCCGCCTCCCGCCCCTGAACTCAGGGAGCCGGCCGGTTTGTGTTCCAGGGCCCGAACACACTCTTTGTGGTGTGAACTGGCCCCAAGAGAAGGATTTCTTCAGATTGTTTAGTTTTTTTCTCAATTCCTGTTGTGTGTTCAGGACAGTAAGTGAAGGGAAATCTCCCCAATGGGATAGACACAGCAAAAAATAAACTGACATGTGTATCTTTACATTATCTATATAAACACTACACATACACACTTGAGATACAGACATACTTTACTTCTCCCATGCAGTTGTAAAAGATTGGATTGGGTGATTGTTTTCTTATGACAGTTGGTATCTTTATATTTGCCAGCAGTGGGAGATTGCTTTTAGTTAAGCAGGCAGAACTTTGGTCTACACAGTTACAGTTAGAGAAACAGCACCGTTTAAAAAGAGAAAATGGTCAAGGACCCATTATTCAGCATGGAGTCTCCCTACTTGTACACTTTATTATTATTTACGTTCAGAAGGTTTTTCCTGATAAATATAAGATGAAGCTTCAGGCTCTGTGTTACTCTTTCTTTTTTTTTTTTTGTAGTGTGAATGCTATTCACTAAAATTATGTATTTTCTCTACAGGGAAGCCGCAAAGTTGAAATTCCCTATGAACCAAAGGTGAGACAACTGTTGCTGTTAAGTAAAATGTGCAAATGATCAGGTATGGAAAGTAAACAATAAAGTGTACTTCAGGGCAAAATAACAGCAACATATTCAGTACATATCTGCATTGCATGAACTTTTCTACTTTAAAAACATTGCAGTACAGAAAAATACCTGTTCATCTGCTAGAAATCTAGTTTTCTCCTAACTTGGGCTGTTTGGGCTGACAACGCACTACTAGCGTTGTCAGCACTGACCTACTGGACTGCAGAACTCCACCTATCCCTCACCCCTCTCTATCATTCACCGGATGCATTCAGTGACTTCTTTACCAGCAAAACAATGCTGCTGTCTTGACTCCCAGGAGCCTGCCCACACACTGTGTGTGGGGAATGAACTTTCGAGAGATGTAGTTCTCAGGTGTGCCTACGTCCATAGGAACTGGCCTCCCAGCAGCTGTGAAAGCCTAGTGATAATGTTACAGGAAAAAAGAAAAGCTGTTTCTTCATAATAGGGACAAGGTAAAAGAAATAATGCCCAGGCATGCTCTAGATGGGGAGAGGGAGGTTTTAGGGTAAATTTGGGTAGTGCCTCAACATACATTTTAAAGTTCCTTCTCTCCAGTTGAATGGTTAGTGCATACATACAGAAATATATGCTATGCATACATGTAGCCTTCAGTTTCAACAACATTAAATAAATACATGTTTTCAAGTCAACGTAGCCATTAGCAATCAATCATAAAGTTATGATTTGACCACCAAGACAACCTTTCCTTATCAGATATACTCAAATATACTCTTTGGTATGGTATTTTCAGTGAATTGCAGCACCAGCTTATCTCTAAACCATTACCACCTATTGGCCAAAAGTCACCTGCCTGGCTGAGCATAACTTTCTCTAATGATGCTATATAGATCCTCCATTATCATCCAGACCTAGGGTTTGCGTGCAATTTAAATTTGAAATCTATGAGCATGTTGTTCAATGCATAATGTACACAACCTTCTATTATATTGGAATCAACAACGCATTTAGTAAAAAAATGTTTATACAAGATCAATTTTTGGATATTAAACCCCCCTGCAGAACTACCAATATACATTTAAAGCCCTATATATATATATATATATAGGGCTTTAAATGTAGTATTATGGAATACATGAATCTGCCCAAAAAAGCTACGTATTTCATTGTATTCCACTTCGTCAGGACTGGGCTTAGTCATATACATGTATAAAATGGCTCACATAGGTCTGAAACTGATACCTAGGTAAGTAAAACAACATTTTAAATTCTGTTATCACTAAAGTCCTCGGTGAATCCAAATGTCCCTATAATATTCAGAAGCTGATACATTACACCATATATAAAGAATAGGCTATCTCCTATTCCTTTAATTGGACTAAACATTTTCATTTTCATGTGGTAGATAATTATTTTTGAGAAGCCCATGTTTGAAGGAAGACAAGTGGAGCTGGACAAGGAAACAATTACTTTTAGGAAACTTGAAATAGCAGAAGGATCTGAAGAAGAGAAAAGACTTCCCTTTACTACAGTTGGATCTATGAGAGTTATCAGTGGATTGTGAGTATAATCCTCTGTTATAGGACAAGCCTACTTGGTGAAGTCTTAGAACACTTCATAATCCGCTATTCATTTATTGTGTTAATGTTTCTAGCTATAGAGTTTACATGTTATGTCCCATACAGACTGTGGCTTAAGTTTACTGATTCCTTTTGTGTGCATGTAGGTGGGTTGGCTATGAGAAGTCTGGATATGAAGGTCACCAGTACTTGCTGGAGGAAGGTGATTATGAAGAGTGGAGTCATTGGGGAGGCTACAATGGATTACTGCAGTCATTACGCCCAATGTTATCTGTAAGTTTATCCTAACTCACCACATTTAACGTTTATATTATGTGTTCTCCCCGTTTCTCTAAAATCATTGATGTGAATGTACAAATGTGCGTAAAAATATGCAAAAACTCAGCAAATGCAAATTTTTGAGCATTTCCATTAACCCTTTCGCTGCCAAGCCCTCCGGAACATTTTTCAAATCAGCTGGCCACGCCATTTTTGATATAGGGCCAAGAAGCGCAGAATCTGCCAAAAAGAAGCTCATGTACTTTCTTCAAGCGACGGGATCTTTGCTTCAAGCAACATGACGCTCAGATGTGAAAATGGCCATAGAAATTAATGGGAATTTTTAGGGCTTTTTTTTTTTAGCTGAAACAG